CCCGGAACTGGAGTTCAGAGCAGTCGGGAGCTTGAGACTCCCTCCCGATTGAAAAAGACAACCGTGTCCTCAGTTGCCATCCTTCCCACGTGCGCCTCCGTACCTCTGAACTTTACCTCTGCACCTCCTCTGAGTCTCAGTGTGCTTTTCTCTTTCCTTCTAGTTGTAGAATTTCCACTCAGCCAGCCTTCCTATGGTTCTGGATGATGTCCGTTTTGTCTTTTAGTTGTATTTTTGAATTTGTTGTGGGAGGCAGCAATTTCCAGTGTTTACCTATGCCGCCATCTTGGTTTTCCTGAAAGGATTCTTTTAACACCAATATCATTTTAGCATAAATTTGTTAGACCTGAAAGGCTATTTATTCACAAGTGCTTAAATTTTTTAAAAACCAGGTCTAAATTGATCAGTGGAGTGATTTAAATATAGATAGTGCTAAAGTGGAATCATCTAGTTGTTGCTTGAAAATGTTTGTTATTAGGTCAGTTAAGGAAAAAAGTATAGCTTTTATAGTATGACATACTATCTTTTATCTTTTGTAGGGTCGCCTGGCCTTTGGAAATCATTACCAACCTCAAACTCTGTGTATCAACTTTGATGATGCTTTTTTAACTTATACTACAAAACCACCTTCCAGTCACCTTGACCAATTCATGCATATTGTGAAAGGAAAGCTTGAAAATGTTCGAGTCATGCTTGTTCCTAGTCCAAGATATGTTGGTCTTCAAAATGATGAGTAAGAACATCTTACATATGTCTAATATAGATATCAATTTGATTTTTAGCACCCTTTTAATTTCTGTTACAAGCTGGGCATTAATTAGGTACATTTTTCTAATAAATTAACAGTATAGTCCTGCTTTATAAGGTAAGTGGATATACTATCCATTGGTGAACTCTAATTTTAAATATTTTTCTATAGAATTATGGCTAATTTTTTTACCCTTTTCTTCCTTTTAACTGTATTTGAAAAACTCATTTTGGGAAATTAAGCCCTGGTATTTGATGTTTACACATTACAGGCAGGTTTTTATTTACAGAAGGAAAGGATAAATAGTAAATTCAGCAAATTCATTATAGTGGAGTACCATTCTGAGTTAATGAGAAAAGTTGAAAATGGAAACAAAATTACTCTTGGACATCTGTTGAAGTTAGGATGGTACAGTTAGGATGGAACTTGCTTGGTATGCAAGTCCTGGGTAGTTTTCCACCTAGCTTTCCAGATTTGTCTTCTACCTGTGAAGTAGCTGCTTGCGTTCAGGAGACAGGGAGCATTAGTGATGCACCGTGGACTCGCCCTCGTGGTGGCAGGATGCTTCCCTATGAGGTCTGGGACCTGAAGGAACTCCAGGGCATGCATTCATGGTAGGATGAGGGCTCACGATGTCTATTTTTTGTATGAGGAGACTTTCTGGTTGAATTTGTGTAATTTAGTATTCATAGGATGATATTCCTCTATGTCCCAGCGTATATCTTTGTAGGTAACATACAGTCTATGAAGTCGTGAGAAGCATGATTATTCCTTTTTAGTTCCAACTTCTTGCTGTTCAGTTTTCTGGGCACTGGCTGGAGTGGTAGAGAGGTTTCCCTTTGGAGACTGGCGAGGCTGTGAGTCTGCCTGGGCCCACTCTTCAGGATCAGGGGCTTTGCTCAGCACATAATGCTGCACTTACAGCTGAAAGTTTAATACTGCATGAATAAATAAATCTGGATTTTGTGAAAATTATTAGAGAGTAAGATGAAAAAGTGTTCTGCTATTAATTTGTATAAAAAGATTTAAAATTGTGTTTTTTACTCTTTAAAAGTGTGCAGGTTAAATGATGACATTAAACATTAAGCCTGGCAGGTACTGGTCAGTGATAGGCATTGACCTATGAACCAGGAGGTCATGGTTTGATTTCCTGTTATGGCACATGCCTGGGTTTCGGGCTCGATCCCCGGGAAGGGGTATGCAGGAGGTAGCCGATCAACAGTTCTCTCTCATCATTGATGTTTCTCTCTCTCCCTCTCCCTTCACTCTGAAATCAATAAAAATATATTAAGAAAATAAACATTGTCCTAACTGGTTTGGCTCAGTGGATAGAGCGTCGGCCTGCGGACTCAAGGGTCCCAGGTTCAATTCCGGTCAAGGGCATGTATCTTGGTTGCGGGCACATCCCCGGTAGGGGGTGTGCAGGAGGCAGCTGATCCATGTTTCTCTCTCATCGATGTTTCTAACTCTCTATCCCTCTCCCTTCCTCTCTGTAAAAAAACAATAAAATATATTAAAAAAATAAACATTAACCTTAAGATTTAATATATTTTAAGAAGAATATTGCTGAATTTGTGTTATTATTTAATGACTGCAAAGTTTATTTTGATGTGGAAGGAAGATACTGTGGTATATGACAAAGTAAAAAGATGTTAAAGCAATGAAAGATGAACAGTTTGTGGGAAAGCGATTGTAGAGAAACAGTCAATCCAGAATTTGAGTTCGAGATGTTTGCTTTAAATTTGATTCAAGTTGATCAAGTAAATATTCTTGGAAATAGGTAATTAAAGTTGTTAAAAATAAAAATGACAACATTTTTTCTTATGTAATGTTTTAGAAAGCTTATTTTATTTTACAGATATATAAAGTGATATTTCTTCAGTTTTGTAGTGTTATTAATAGAAAATGATTGAATTTAAAGTTTAATTGTTGTAAATACAGAATATAATTATTGTATTCTGATGAACATTGTTTTTCCATTGTATTTAATTAACTTCGTCTTAAATTGATTTCTGTTATTCACAACTTAAAATGAAAACGTGAAACAATTTTTTTTCTTTTTTCCCTATTGAACCAATCTACTGATTAAAAATATTTCAGTATCATTTCATTATTTAGTCTAATATAGAATACAACTATGGAACAATTTATTGTTTGTGAAAGATGGCTTACCTTTTCAAGATGCTACCCTTGATGCATTTGTTTTTTTGTTTGTTTGTTTTCACCTGTCACCACCATTAATTAGAACACTGAACTGTTTGTATGCTGGAGTTGTACTTAGTTTGCCTTGCCCCTTCTCATAGGCCACCGAGGTTAATGGGAGAAGGCTTTGTGGTGATGCAGTCAAATGATGTTGACATCTACTACTACATGGACGAGCCAGGTAAGACTTTTTGAAAGTATAGTTCATAGCTGCAATTCTATTTCTTCTATGAAATGGGATGTTAATAATATTTTAAGTCTCTTTACTTAGGATATAAATGAGTTTCAATAAATGTTGAGTGCCTACCTAAAAAATACCTGTGTCGTTGTTAAAAGTTGAATATGACTTTAGTATTTCAGACCAAAATGATATTGTAACCTTTCCTTCAAATTCCATGTTATCAAATATACCTCAAAAATTGTGAATACAAATTACCATGAGTGAAAACCTTTGAGAATATGATGATGGTTAAGGTAATTCATGTTAGTTAGGAAAACAACTCACAGTATGTTAGACTTGAGGCTAACAGTTTCAGGATTAAAATCCAGCTACCATGCTTCATGGATGGTTTCCATTTTATAAAAGTTACTGAACATTGGATTTTAGCCACCTTTTTTTCCTGATCTTTCTCCTGGGGTTTTATAAGGTCAAAATATTTTAAAAGTAAAAGTAGGATGCTGTTTGCCTTTTTTCACCATGTTGATATTTTCACTGATTCTTTACTTGAAACAATAGCTAAATTTTTCAAAATTAGGATTTTGAAAAAATTTGAGTCTGCAACTGTGAGTTTGGTAATTTTTCTTATAAGACCACCAGTGATGTTAACAAATGTGATTTTTAAAATGTTTAATAATGAAATTTATTAATATTTGAAAAAGTATGTATGTTGTAGTGAACCCATGTTTTCCAAATGATCAATGCATGCTGTTGCAAAGTCAGGCCATGGATAAAAGATTTATTCAAAGTGTAAGAGAGATAGTATATTTTAATGTAAGAAGTTCAGTGATATGGCTTCAGATTTCACATTGTAACCTTTAAGAAACTACTACTTGTTGAATTTTGGAGTAGTGTCAAAGAATACCCAGAACTATCAGAAAAAGCTATTAAAATACTCCTTCCTTTTCTATCCACCTATTTGTATGAGGCTAGGTTTTCTTCAAATCCTTGAACAACAGACTTAATATAGAAGCAGCTGTGAGAATTCACATTTTTTTTATTAAGCTAGACATTAAAGAGATTTGCCAAAATAAAAACAATACCAACATTTCTCAAATTAATTTTTTTTAGAAAATGTGGTTATTTTTATTAAAATATTTTTATTAAAAATGAAATTAAAATTTCATCTTTCATTAAAATATAGTTATTTTTCTATTATTTTCATTAAAATTTATTACTATCAACATAATGGGCTTCTTATTTAATAAAATAAAAAATTTAAAAATTGATCAATTTAAATTTTTAATACAGTAAGTATTGATAGAGATAATACAAAAATACCCACTTTAGGGTCCTCAATTAAAAAAAATTATTGATTTCAGAGAAGAAGGAGAAGGAGAAAGAGATAGAAACATCAATGATGAGAGAGAATCATTGGTCAGCTGCTTCTTGTGCACACCCTCTACTGGGGATTGAGCCCGCAACCTGGGCATGTGCCCTGACCAGGAATTGAACCGTGACCTCCTGGTTCATAAGTGGACGCTCAACTACTGAGCCACACCAGCCGGGCAGGTCCTCAATAATTTTTAAGAGTGTAAAGTGTTCCTGAAATAAAAAAAAATATGTTAGAACTGCTGATCTACAGGAACCTTTTAATGGTTATTTTAAATAACTGCCTTTATGTTGTATATTCTGCAATGCAGGACTTGTACCAGAAGAAACAGAAGAAAATATTGAAGGAGAATTGAGTAGTGAGGATTGCAAATTACAAGATTTGCCTCCGTGTTGGGGACTTGATATAGTTTGTGGTAAAGGAACAGATTTCAACTATGGGCCATGGGCCGATAGACAGAGGTACTTGAATAAATTATATTTCTAATAAGTTTCAAATGTATTGAGCTAATACTATATTTTTATTAAAACATAATAGTTTTCTAAGCTATTTTATTATGGCAGGGGAAGATATTCCTAGACATTTTAATCCAAATAATAACTTGTGTGTAGAGAAATTGGTTTAATCAAGTTCACTGCAAAGGAGGAGTTAACTCATTAGAAAAATGATGAATGAGCAGCACATTTATTGGTTCCTTTGTTTTTCCTTAAGTATTTAATCAACAAATATGCCAGTGATTGTTGGGGTGATGCAGATTCAGAGCTAAATACAAAGATAGTTTAGTTAGTGGATGAAAAAAGAGACAAAAGAGGTTTATTACATGCTGTAATAGAGGTGAGTAAAAACTCTTGAAAAACTTAGAAAGGTACTGACTTGGTTTGCTAAGGCTCCCATAACAGAATACCACAGACAAATTTCTCACAGTTCTGGAAGTTAGAATTCTGAGATTAAGGTGTTGGCTAGTTCCTTATGAGGGCTGTGAGGGAATGATGTGTTTCTTGTGATAGCTGTCTTTTCTCTGCATCTTCACGTGGTCTTCCCTTTTGTGTGTCTTGTAAGTTCTCTGTCCAAATTTCCTCTTCTTAGAAGAATATCGGTCATGTTAGATTAGGGTCCACCAAAAACATCTCATTTTAACTTAATTACCTCTGTAAAGACCATGTCTCCAAATACAGCCAAATTCTGAGGTTAGGACTTCCACATAAGAATGTTTAGGGGTACGCAATTCAGCCCATAAAAGGTACATAAATCATTTTAAAGATTTAAGAAGAAAAGAATTAGGGGAGGCTTTTTGGTAGAGGGAACATTTGAGTTGAGTTTTGAAACATAAGTGTTAGCCAGGGGAGGAAGAATTTTAAAAAAGAAGAGGACATTTACCAGTAGTGATGAGGACACATCCAAATTTTTATGTAAATAGACGTTGCTTATAGTTAGTTCAGCAACTTTGCCATCTGGACTATTGATATACTTGTAGAAAGTCTTTCATTTCTCACAGTAGAAAACATTCTTTTGTTTTATTGAGAGGAAATTATAGTAGGTGTTTGTGACTTAATTTTTTGTATTTTGTCTATTTTTAAATAAGAGAGTAGTGATAATACATATCAAGTTCAAATATTGATTTTGGTCCCTTATTAGAAATCATTTTGTTGGAATAAAATGTCATTATTCTTTCTACCTTCTTATATAGAGATTGTTTATGGAAGTTTTTCTTCCCACCTGATTATCAAGTTCTGAAAGTTTCTGAAATTGCACAGCCAGGGAGACCAAGACAGATCCTTGCCTTTGAACTGCGAATGAATATTATTGCAGATGCTACAATTGACTTGCTGTTTACCAAAAATAGGGTAATTATTGAAATAATATAGAGAAAATAGTGCTTAAAATTTGAATATTATTTTCCAGAGCAATTTTTGGTGACTAGTCCTATACTGAGATTCATTTCTATGAGCTTCCTACCACTGTGCCCCCAATAATTGTATATATACTATTTTCATTAAGTGCCAAATAGTATACAGAAATTAATCAACAAACCTTTATGCTATAGTCTGGTTCATTTTCTCCTTTATATCAGCCCAAATTGTTTTAGTGTATTTTTTTGTTAACCCTCACGGAGGAGATTTTTCCCATTGATTTTTAGAGAGAGAGTGGTAGGGAAGGAGAGAGGGAGGGAGATAGTAAGAGAGAAAGAGAGTGAGAGAAATATCGATGTGAGAGATAAATCAATTGGTTACCTCACTCGCCTGACTAGGGCTGGGGATCCAACCTGCAACCTAGGTATGTGCCCTTGACCAGAATCGAACCTGGGACCCTGTGGTACATGGGTCAACACTCTAACCACAGACCCACTCTGTGCAGGGTGTGTTCTTAGGCATTTTGAATACCTATTAATATCATTGCTGGTTATATTTTTGTCTCTGATAATAACTAAAAGGTAAAGATGGGAATGTAATTATAATGAATATTTTATGTGACTTACTTTTTTTGTTTTGTTAGGAAACAAATGCTGTGCATGTCAATGTTGGTGCTGGCTCCTATTTGGAGATCAATATTCCCATGACAGTCGAGGAAAATGGTAAGCTGCAGCAAGTGCTTCTCTGTTCCAAATGACTAGTAGGAAAATAATATATAAACAGTAGTTTGTTAATCCACTTAAACTAACATAATTAATGGGGGTTTTCTTTTTCAGCTTTTTATTATATTTTGTGTACCTATAGCTATCAACAGTAGATAGTACACAATTAAATCATTTGTGCAGCTAGAGAAAGAGAACATTTTTTTTAAAGTAAGTTAAGTCTTATAATTTCATGCTTTTATTATCTATCTATATATATATGTAAAAGGCTAAGTGACCGACCATCCATCTGACCAGTACATATGACACACACTGGCAATCCTATATAATAAAAGCCTAATATGCTAAGCATCTAGTTGTCTGGCTGTTCAACCAATCAAAGCATAATATGCTAATGATATGCTAAGGCTGCTCAACCATTCGCTATGACATGCACTGATCACCAGGGGGCAGACAACCGGTTGGCCAGTCGCTATGACATGCACTGACCACCAGGGGGCAGACGCTCTGACTGGTAGGTTAGCTTTGCTGCTGGGGTCCGGCCATTAGGACTGAGCCAGAAGGGCTGTACACACCCTAGAGCCCTCCTGCAGCCCCTCCCTGGCTGGCCAACCTCCCGCGTCCCTTCCTGGCCCCAATTGTGCACCAGTGGAGTCCTTTGGCCTGGCCTGCGCTCTCTTGCAATCTGGGATGCCTTGGGGGATGTCAGAGAGCCGGTTTTGGCCCGATCCCGCAGGCCAGGCTGAGAGACCGCACTGATGCACGAACGGGCCGCTAGTTTAAAAATAAACATTGCCTTGCGCATACACGATACATATAAAGCTCTCACTGGCACCAATCGCATGTGTGTGTTTTGATATGTCATTGTTGATTGTGAATTTAGTTGTTTTTGTTGTTTTTATATCATGTCTTTGTTGTTTTTATATCATGTTATTGTTTATTAATCAACTTATATATTATTTTCATATACATTTTACTAACTTTCTTTAATCTCTGACACTTCTATTTTAGAGAAAGGGCAAATAGTGATATTAAAATATTTCTTCTAATTAATATCCTTTCAATGAGCATGAATCCGTGCACTGGGCCACTAGTCCTCTATATTTCTCTTTTGTAAATGAGCATACTTTGCTTAGCATATGTTTTTCCTGTTTCTTCATGAGAGCAGGTGCTCTGTCTTTGTTTTCACTGTGTAAACCTGATGCCGAATCCAGTACCTGGTTTGTGGTTCATGGCCAGTAATTGACTGAATGGCTAATAGTCTTTGTTTCAGGTAATAATAGTAGATTTTTGTCAGGGAGTTAACTGGGTACTTTGAACAGCAAAACTTTAAGAAAGGAGAACGTTTCATATTTCAAATATTAAATAAGGCCCTGATAGCTATAGTTTCATCTGAGCTGAAATAATCTAATTCATTATGCACTTAAAATTTGGCTCTGATACAAGATAATCAACAACATGACTACTTTGTGTTAAATTGACCAAAATATTATATAGCTGTCTTCATTTTTTCTGCCTCTCATCCTCTTATTACATTTGTAATTGAGAGTAATTAAAATGAAATTCTGCTCTATTCACTTTCTTGAGCATGCAGAGAATAGCAACTTATCCATATTTTTAAATTACTAACCAGCAATGTTATGATTGCTAAGCAGAGAGTAATTTTTATACTATTCTTGACTCTCTGTGCTTGTTCCTGCCACTCACTGGATTAATTGCGTTCATAAAGAGGGAACAGTTGGGGTTGCCCGCTGAGATAATTAACTGAAAAAGTGACGGAGAGAGTACGTCTTTTCCCTGTAACCTCTGTGCTGTTTTAGTGAAGAACAAAACCTTATTTAAGCTAGTTCTAAGAGAATAATCCTACTGTGTCTTGAAGCAGGTTCTCTAGGATAGGTAGATTCAGTGTAGTCAATTGGAAAGAAGCATCTCTTAGGACAGCCTTAATTACCGATCTGTACCAGGGAAAAGGCAGTTGGGATTGCACAAAATTGAGAAGGGTTCATTTGAGGGAGTGCTGCTACCATTTTAAACTGATGATGCACATAGGAAGTAAGATTTATACAAACAATTTGTACACAATTATTGGTGCACTAGGTGAGGGGTCCCCTGAGGGCTGTGGGGTCTGGAGCACACCTATTAGGAATTCATGGGAAGTGCCCCAGCACACAGGCTATGGAACTCAGAGTGAGGGAAGGGTCTAAGGCAGCCGTGGGCAAACTACGGCCCGCGGGCCGGATGCGGCCCGTTTGAAATGAATAAAACTAAAAAAAAAAAAAAGACCGTACCCTTTTATGTAATGATGTTTACTTTGAATTTATATTAGTTCACACAAACACTCCATCCACGCTTTTGTTCCGGCCCTCCGGTCCAGTTTAAGAACCCATTGTGGCCCTCGAGTCAAAAAGTTTGCCCACCCCTGGTAAGGAAAGGCTGGACGGGGTCCTTGGTCAAAGTGAGGTGGCTTTTTAAAAAAAATTTTTTTATTGATTTCAGAGAGAAAGGGAGAGGGTGAGAGAGATAGAAACATCAATGATGAAAGAATGCCCCCTGCATGCCCCCAACCGGGGATCGAACCCACAACCTGGGCATGTGCCCTCAACCAGAATCGAACCTAGGACCCTTCAGTCCGCAGGCCGACGCTCTATCCACTGAGCCAAACCAGCTAGGGCAAGATGAGGTGGTTTTTAAGGTGACTGTCTGAGCGGGAAATAGGCTTAGGTCTGAGACAAGAACAAAACAGAACTCAAATACATGTACAACTTTTTTCAGAGATTCAGGTGTTTGGAAAAAAATAAAAAAGCCCAGAGCAGGATGCATGTTGGAGTAGCCATATAATAATGATCACAGAGTTCATGCTTCTGGAAGGGCAGCCCATCCAGAAAAGAAGTGATATACTCTGAGCTGCTGCTTTTGTTCAGAACAGGCTGCATGGTTTGGTGTAACTGTCACTGTATAAGGAAGAGCTGTTGTACAGAAACTGTCATTGTATAAGGAGTGATTGAAAAAGATGAAAATAGGTATGCTGGAGTTAGTGGAAGAAGAGAGGACATGGGAGCCATTTTAAATAGTTCAAAACTGTCATTTAGAGAACAGAATTGTAGTTTTGCACTAGAAAGCAAGTCATGATAGACATTATATGAATATGAAACTTTCTTCCCTCAGAGGTGGTCATTTGAGAAAGGTCACCTATGTGGTTGCAAGCTCCCTCCCCATCATTGGGGTATATTTAAATAGCAACTGACCACCACATTTCAGGGATTTCTTCTTTGGGTTGTGGTGGGATTTATTTCTAGTAGATTCTTAATTTTTATGTTTTCACTTATTAGGTTACACTCCTGCAATTAAAGGACAACTGTTACATGTTGATGCCACTACCAGCATGCAGTACCGGACCCTGTTAGAAGCAGAAATGCTAGCAGTAAGTCTGGGGCATATGAAGATATATATAGGTGCATAAAATATAAATTTGGTTTTAATTTTTTAATATAAAATTGTAATGACCAAGAAGTCATCAAATGGTCCATCTTCTTATTCAAGAACCACCAGGTGTTCTTTGGCCTTAATTTGGAAAGAGAAGTAGATTCCCAGTGATGTAGAATCCCTGGCACTCTCTGTTATTCTGCTCCTAGTATGGGGGATGTAAACATAAGGCAATTAAATGTGGGGTTTTGGCCTTTAAAAATATGAACAGTTGTTAGGATATTGTTTTTAAACTTCACTGTATGGCTAGACTAATTCTCTCCAATGTTGTAAATAAGATTGTGGGTTTTTTTTTTAAAGGAATTACTTTAAAAATATATATATTTTTATTGATTTCAGAGAGGAAGGGAGAGGGAGAGAGAGATAGAAACATCAATGATGAGAGAGAATCATTGATCAGCTGCCTCCTGCACGCCCCATACTGGGGATGAAGCCCGCAACTGGGCATGTGCTCTGACCAGGAATCGAACCGTGTCCTCCTAGTTTGTAGGTTGATGCTCAACCACTTAGCCACACCAGCTGGGCAGATTGTTTTTTGTTTTTTAATATATTTTTATTGATTTCAGAGAGGAAGGGAGAGGGAGAGAGAGATAGAAACATCAATGATGAGAGAGAATCATTGATTGGCTGCCTCCTGCACGCCTCCCTACTGGGGATCAAGCCTGCAACCCAGGCATCTGCCCTGATCGGAATTGAACCTGGGACCCTGTGGTCCACAGGCTAATGCTCTATCCACTGAGCCAAATCAGCTAGGGCTGTTTTTTTTGTTGTTGTTTTTTACTATATGTTTTCTGGCCCCTTTGGATTCTTTCTCAGGGTTTAATAATTCATTCTGCTTTTTACTTGATGAATAAGGTGAAAGGAAGAAAATCTTAATACCCTGGATTGCTGCATAGTACAAAGAGAAAAAATAAGGAAGTACTTATGACCAAAATTTCAGATTGGGGACTCAGTAATCAGGCAGATAATTATTTTTTGTTAGGATCAACAACAATAACAACAATAATAGAAGCCAATGGCTGATAATCAGAGAGGATTCTTTTACACAGTATTATATTAGTCGGTCCTTAATTGTTTGCCTAAACAAGCTATTTACATGATATATATGTAAATTAAGAGGAAACGTTTGCAATTAACCAAGAATATATTGAGTACCATAAATGTATATTCAACTGGCATATTCAGCATTTTAATGATTGCTGAGCTCTAACTGATAAGTACTGCTGTGCAAAATTGCTGGTCCTAATCAAGCAGCTCTTGCCTTTGCAGAATTGTCCAGCTTTGGCAGGTGGAATACAGACCTGTAACCACCACGCCGTCAAATGGGAACCCAGGAGGCTCTGGGGCCAGACTTGTGTGTGACAGTATCCGTTGCATACACTCTCTGCGCCCGAACCTCTCACTGACCAGGTTGGGCATGCAGAGGAGTTAAGGGTGTTGCTGTTATTCTGAGTTTAACTCACGTACAGTGTTGAAACTGTAACCTGATTGTTACTCAATTTTTTTTTTATTTTTTATTTTTTACCACCTCATGGCTTAGTATTTCAAGGAACTGGATATAACCATGGCTGCTGACCTTCAGCCACAGCAATATTAAAATCTCAAAGGGACCTTCTGTTATGCTCAGTAGGAAAATAAGTTTTCATTACTTACCAGTGTGTGTGAGTTTATTTCTGATGCTCTTCACATAGGGTCACATTTTAAACTCTAACATTTTGACTTGACATTGATTTTCAGTTCCACATCATTGCCAGCTACCCCCGAGTATGGAACATGCCCCAGACGTGGCAGTGTGAATTAGAGGTGTATAAAGCCACCTACCACTTCATCTTTGCACAGAAGAACTTCTTCACAGGTAATTTTCTAATGAAAAAAAAAATGCAGTGAGATTCATTATAGGGAACTGCTTTCTATTCATGTGAGTTTTAGTTTTAGATTCAGCCTGGGGATTTGATGACACAATTCAAACTTTTTTACTTTCACACTTTTTGGGCCAAGAAGATCAAAGGGAAAATTTAAATATAGATATGTTGTGCTCTCTTTCTACACAAAAAAGGAAAATATGAACCCAAAATTGAGCTGAAAAAAAAAAAAAAAAAAAGAACCCATCTTAGGCTGGGCTGGTACTTTGATTCGGTCTAGTGGGGAGTATGATGGGGAAGGTGTATCAATTTATCTTCCTGAATTAGGCATCAGCATGGCTTCATGGTTTTGTTTTGATTATTGTAATCTACAAACAGTATATTCAAATAGTCAAATATGCTATGTTTGTATTGGGAGCCCCTACTTTCTTCTTGGCATGGACAATTTAGTTGGTGTTGTCATTAGTCAGAAAATTCCTTCATTTGTTGCAGCATATTACAATAGCTACTCATATTTATTTCCTGAGTATGCAAACATGTAAGTCTTGGTCTCTGAGTAACATAAATATTTCTATATGAAAACAAGTTACGTTTATTGAGACTTCCTGTGACAAGTTTAGCTAAACAGAGTTGGTCTGATTTGCCAGGGTTGGTGGCTGTCCCAGAGCACCTAATATTTGCTTGATTGATTGCTACAACCAACCAACCTTCCTTCCTTCCTTCCTTCCTTCCTTCCTTCTATTCCTCTATCACTAGTTAGTAGAAGAACATTTAAGAACAATTATTCAAATGTAGACCCTGTGCTCTCTCTGTAGTATGATGCTGTTATTAAAGATGGTTAGAGTTTTCCTTCAGAAGAGAGGGTAGCAAAGAGTGTATTTATTTTAGATAAGATGAATAGTTTGAGTAAAAGTGCAGAATGAAAAACGTTTCTGAGAGAGAAAAGTGATAAAATCAGCTGGATGAATGATGAATTTGTATTGTGGAGTTGGTTAGTTCCAGAGATGGCTTTTGGGCATCTCCCAGCTGCTAGATATTGTGCTACAGAATAGTTAGAAGGTAGGGATGCGTCCCATTTGTTAGGTAAGGTGACATGTAGAAGTAAGTGGAGATACTATAAGGTATAGTGAACCACTGTGTTTGCTTGTTAAATTAAACAAAAATACAGTTAAGGTAAAATTAATAAGTGGAATTTTCTCTATTCATAGACCAAGTTAATAGCCATATGCCTTTTGTTGTTGACATAGTAAAACTCTACATGTTACTATTATTAATTTAAATTATGATAACTTTTGATATTAAATGTATTATTTTATTAAGAGGAATTTCTAATATCTTGCACAAACTTATGTGCATTGAATTTTAAATGAGTTCCTATGCTATTATATGAGATAAATTTGATTTCTGATATCATTATTGAATCTAATATTTTTTAGTATAAATTTCCATTAAAATTAAAAAAATTACTTTAAATATTTAATTAATTTTACCTATTAATATTATTATAATATATTTTTTAATCCTCACCTGAGGATATTTTTTCCATTGATTTTTAGAGAGAGGAGAAGGGAGAGGGAGAGACAGAAACACCGATGTGAGAAAGACACATCGATTGGTTGCCTCCCGCATGTCCCCCGACCAGGTCTGGGAGCCTGCAACTGAAGTACATGCCCTTGACTGGAATTGAACCCGGGACCCTTCAGTCCATAGGCCAGTGCTCTATCCACTGAGCAAAACTGGCTAGAGCTACCTATTATTATTATTATTTTGTAATCCTCACCCAAGGAGTGAGGATATTTTTTCCATTGGATTTTAGAGAGAGTGGAAGGAGGGGTGGGGAGAGAGAGAGACAGAGAAACATCAACGTAAGGAGCTTTTACCTATTGAGGTTAAAATAAAGATACCAAAGGATAGGTACACTAATTATAGGAACACAATTTTGAAATCAACAACCAGACCATACAAATTAGCAGTACAACAAATCAACAAAAATAAGTGACTGTAAATTCTTAGAAGGCCAAGTCTGTGTTTTGTTCACCAGAGTCTAGAATAGAGTCTGACACACAATAGACACTCTGTTGGTATTTGTTTAATGAATAAAACAACAGGAAAAATGGTCAACCCTATTACACTTAAGAAATCCAATTAAATGAGGTGGCATCTTCCAGTTACCAATTATCAAGCTGCCCTCCCCGCACCCCCCCAAAAAAGAGACAGAAACAGGGAGGGAGAGAAAGAGATAAAAAGAAATATACAGCCCAGTTGGGGTGGCTCAGTGATTGAGGGTCAGCCTATGAACCAGGAGGTCATAGGTTCAATTCCCAGTCATGGTACATGCCCAGGTTGCAGGCTCAATCCCAGTAGGGGGTGTGCAGGAGGCAGCCAATCAGTGATTCTCTCTCATCATTGATGTTTCTTTCTCTCTCCCTCTCCTTTCCTCCCTGAAATCAATAAAAATATATTAAAAAAATATATAGGAGAGGGTACAACGAAATAGTCAAGCATACATTTCTCATAGGAGGATATAAGATAGTATAAAATCTACATAGAAAAAAAACTAGAAGGAAATGTATCCTCAGTGTTGGATGTGTGGGTAGTGAATAACAGATGATGTTTTTCTCTTTAATCTTCTACAGTTTCTTTAGTCACCTTTTAATATTTCAGGATAAGAGTTCTTTTTAGTTATAAATGAAAAATAGATTTTTTACTGGTGTTAGAATTTTTACAATTTGTTTTCTGAATTTCACTTAATTTTAATTTCTGTCTCCCATCCTGATAACTTTAGATTTAATTCAAGACTGGTCTAGTGATAATGCTCCAGATATTTTTTCATTTGTTCCATATACATGGAATTTTAAAATCATGTTTCATCAATTTGAAATGATTTGGGCTGCTAATCAACACAACTGGATCGACTGTTCCACTAAACAACAGGAAAATGGTAAGAACTTTAAAAAATTAGGTTGAGTATTTTGTTCATTAAGACAAATACCAACAAATTGATATTGATTGTATAGTTGTGATAGATACTGGAATTTTTCCCATTATTTTGTGAGACTCTCAGAGAATTATTTCAGAGTTTGTATTGGACTAAACATATAGACTAAATTTAATTTTGTTTAGGTTTAAAAATTTATTGAAGTTAAAAGAATTTTTTTTTCTTTTTTTTGTAGTATATCTGGCAGCCTGTGGAGAAACACTAAATATTGATTTCTCTTTGCCGTTTACCGACTTCGTTCCAGTTACATGTAATACCAAGTTCTCCCTAAGAGTACGTATAGTTGGATGCATTGTTTATCCCACAAAGTTTGTTAGTAAGTTGGATTTCCCAAAGCTTATCTTTATTTCGACCCCCGCCCCCCTTCTCAGCCCCCCACTCCCACCTCATCCCTCTACCTCTGTCCCCTGGCCACCCGGAAGTAGTTTAGCTTTCCTCCAGTGTTCACTAATGTTTGTGGCACAGAATGGCCCTTGTCCCTCTTTTGTAGTTGACTATAGTGTTCTGCCATTCCCCTGAGTTTTCCAGCTTTCCCCAAGAAGTGGGGCAATAAGGAAACAATTCCGAGTTGATTATTTCTTAACCTTTGAGGCTGATCTATGTTCTTTTAAGCACCCATTCTAGCTCTAATGTTTACTATGTCTATGCACTAGATTTTATACTTCCCTATATGTCATTCCTCATTGTAATCACCTACAAACTCAAGCAATAGCCACAAATACCTTTCTTATTTTTATCTAAAAGCCAGCTTATATGCAGTCAGAATTTTGTGGAATGCCTAATTTTAGGGCACAAGCAGTCAGTAGTAGTTGTAGTATTGATGGAGGTTATGTGATAAAAAATAACAACAATAATAAAATCAGCTAATACCTGTTAATCATTTTGTATGTGCCAGACAGTATTTCCAGTGCTCATCTGTAGTCACTCATTTTATTCTGAGAACAACCCTCTTGAGGCAGGTGTTATTATTATCTGCATTTATGGACTAGGAGACTGAGGAGCTGAGTTTAGTAACTAGTTATGTAGCTAGTGAGTGGCTGAGGTGGAATTTGAACCCAGGTAACAAAGCTTAGGGTTCTATTCTTTTAAGCACTCTACTGTGCTGCTTATTAAGAAACTAGGCATCAGGATGAAAAAGATTAGGGAGCCTACTAATAAAAGGACAGAAGTGAAGCTGAATGAAGATCCTTTGATATACCAATTCAGAATTCCTAAAAGCCAATTGAAGAATCAAGAGTTATTAGAATTAAAAGAGACAATCATGTTTTAAAAATTAATAAAAATACAGAACATATTTCACTTGAGCTTATATTAGTGAGACAATTTTTTATTTTTTACTGAATTATATGTGAAATATCCATATATACCCATTGAAGATATCTTTTTTTTGTTTTTGTTTTTTATTAATCCTCACCTGAGGATATTTTTTCCCATAGATTTTTAGACAGAGTGGAAGGGATGGGGAGAGACAGAGGGTGAGAAACATCGATGTGAGAGACACATAGATTGGTTGCCTCCTGCATAGGATTGAGCCTGCAACTGAGGTTCATGCCCTTTATCAGAATCAAACCTAGGATCCTTCAGTCTGTGGGCCGACACTCGATCCACTGAGCTAAACCAGCTAGGGCTGAAGATAATCTTTTTACTGTTTTGTGGCAACTATGCTGTTTATTATCCTGACTTTTTTCTTAATATTGTAATCAGAATTTAGTTTTACTCTGTAAAATCTTACTCCAGTTATTCATCTGACTGTTCAGTGTTACATCTGCCATTTGGAATTTATGGTTTCTTTTTTTAAAAAAATTATTCTCAGGATTATTATGGAGAGGTTTGGCTGTAAATAGTATCTTAACATGTTTATGTACCTATTTTATTACTGTGGGTTATTATAAATTATTTTTTAGGGAGAAGATGTTGATCTTCATCTGTTTCTACCAGATTGTCACCCTAGTAAATATTCATTATTTATGCTGGTAAAGAATTGCCACCCAAATAAAATGACTCATGACACTGGTCTTCCTGCTGAGTGTCAGAGCAGCCAGAAAACAGTTAAACCCAAATGGCGGAACCTTACTCAAGAAAAGTGAGTACCTAACAGGAGTGACTTAAGTATTTTGTGTTTCTATGTGGAGAAACTGTTCTTCAGAGTCTTTCTAAGAATAATAATAACTTTGATTATCTGTACCTATTGTATGTATATACTGAAAGGAATAAGTACCTGACTAGAAACTTTATTCTTTACTCTTAAAGGGCTGGTTGGGTTGAATGTTGGACTGTCCCAAGTGTCATGCTTACAATCGATTATACATGGCATCCAGTTTACCCACAGAAAGCAGATGAGCAGTTAAAACAATCATGTAAGTGTTTTTTATATAATTTGTACTTTGAAACATCTGGTGTTATGACTGATAATCATCAAAGATACAAAAAAATGCATTTGTTCTTTTGACATAATTGTATACATTAAAATCTTTTAAGGATTTTGGTGTAATTATAGCTAACTTTTATTGAGCATTTACTATGTATAAATTAGTAGGCCAAGCTGTTTCCTGGCTTGCATTATCTCATTTGATCCTTACAACAACTATGAGCTAGATATTGACATTCTTTTTTTTTTTTTAATATATTTTATTGATTTTTTACAGAGAGGAAGGGAGAGGGAAAGTTAGAAACATCCATGAGAGGGAAACATCCATCAGCTGCCTCTTGCACACCCCCTACTGGGGATGTGCCCACAACCAAGGTACATGCCCTTGACCGGAATCAAACCTGGGACCCTTCATTCCGCAGGCCGACGCTCTATCCACTGAGCCAAACCGGTCAGGGCTTGACATTCTTATTATCATTGTAGAGTTGAGGAAATATGCTCAGAAAAAGCAATTATCTAATTTTCTCAGGTCTGTCTCTCTAGAAGCAGCAGAGCTGAAATAACAACAATGTGTATGTCAAACTACATATTTAAAGTACTTGATTTTGTGAAGTGTTAGTTTCTTTAATGCATTTGATAACTATCATAGTTATCCTGAAGCTTATGCCTCTTATAATTGGGGTCCAAAATGGAATTAGAGTCAAGTGATTATTCCTTTGTATTATTCCAGTGAGTTACGTTTTAAAGAATAATTTTCAAAATTGTTCTTATGTATGGAGCTTGGTAACATCGCACTGTATTTGAACAGCTGTTTAAAGGAAAACCACTGTACTTTAATGCCCAAGTATTATTAAAGCCTAATCATGACCCAAATTTATGTTGCAGGGATTTGATGTTAACAGGAATTTTTCATTGAGTCTGTGCAGTCTGATTCATGTATTTCTGCACATATTTCAATGAAGTCTGTTCTATTTTACATTCTTAATTATTAGTTTTTCAGGTTTGTTTTCAGTTATGCTATATGTATTATATCAGAGTTAATTGCTTTCATATTTGCCTTGAAGAATTTCTAAGAGGCCCTTTCCTCCCTTCACCAAACTTTTTGTTTCCGAATTTATCCCAGTGTCAGAAATGGAAGAAACAATGCTGTCTGTGTTGAGGCCATCCCAGAAGACATCAGACCGAGTCATTTCTTCTCCCTCTACTTCTTCCCGCCCACCTGTTGACCCCTCCGAGCTGCCACCTGATAAACTGCATGTGGAGATGGAACTTTCCCCAGACTCTCAGATAACTCTCTATGGACCGCTATTAAATGCTTTTTTTTGTATAAAGGTATGATTTTTTAAAAAGAACTTGCATATTTTTAGATATATGCAAAGCAGTTAATATCTAATTGAAATTGAGACCATTTGCAATAGCCAGTTGGATGATTTCAAGTGTTGAGAATATATTATATATGTTGAGAATAGATTATATAATAAAAGCCTAATATGCTAAGTGTCTGGTCATCTGTTCAACCAATCAAAGCATAATATGCTAATGATATGCTAAGGCCACTCAACTGTTCGCTATGACATGCACTGACCACCAGGGGGCAGATGCTCCGACCGGTAGGTTAGCTTGCTGCTGGGGTTCGGCTGATCGAGACTGAGAGAGATAGGACAGACATGCCCTGGAGCTCTCTCTCGGCCCCTCCCCCAGCTGGCCCCACCCCCGATGGACCCCCATTGGGGCAGGCCAGCCGGACCCCATCTGTGCACGAATTTGTGAACTGGGCCTCTAGCGTGTGTGTGTGTGTGTGTGTATGTGTGTGTGGCCCGGTGCATGACATTCGTGCACTTGTGGGGGGGGTTTCCCCTCAACCTGGCCTGCGCCTGGGGAGCGGGACCTAAGCCAACAGTCGGACATCCCCCGAGGGGTCTTTAGTGCTGCCGCTGCTGCACTCACCAGCCATGATCCCGGCTTCTGGCTGAGTGGCGCCCCCCCCTGTGGGAGCGCACTGACCACCAGGGGGCAGCTCCTGCATTGAGCGTCTGCCCCCTGGTGATCAGTGTGCATCATAGCAACTGGTTGTTCTGCCGTTTGGTGGATTTGCATATTAGCCTTTTATTTATAGGATAGTATAGATAGTACTAGACTCAATTATAAAATTATTTATTAAAGTAGTGTACTCCTCAGTTTATCATTATTTTGAGCATTTAGCATGTTCTAGGAGTTGTGCTAGCTGCTAGAGATAGAAGTGATATTGCATCTGCTCTCAAGGAGAAAAGTTAGGAGGGATAAAGCAGGACAGACCTGTGTGGACAAACTTTAACACATTGTACTTAATGCAGTAAGTATAAGTTAATTTCTTATCTGAGGGTAATTGGTACTAGGAAAAGTCTACTTCAAGTGAAACGATTCAAAATGGACAACTTTATTTCATGGTAATTAATCAAAGGTTTGTTTGGAGCTCCATCTTAACATTTGAAGCAAATATATGTAAGTAAGTTTATTTCAGAATATCACAAATTTAGGTTCTGAAGAAATATGCACTTATTTTTTGAGTAAGGACTAAATCAAGTGTTAATTAATTTTGGTATAATTCACTGAAATTAAATGACTACAGTATGAGAGCACTTAGAGGTTGCTGTCTTTAACATGCTTATGAAGAGAGGCTACTTTAAGAACAATATGTGAGGACTTCATCAGTTTTCTAGATGTCTCTCTTATCCTTTTGATATTCAGCTCATACTTTTAAAAAGTCACCAGAAGTCATCAATAATTTTTACTGATTTACTCTTCTGCATAGGTAATTAAGCCTTCCAGATCCTCACTTATCACTGAGAGGTTTACCAGAGACTTGAGCAGTTATCCAGTGAAACTGACATACTTATTATCATGAAATTTTGCATTTTCCCAAGATTTTTCAAATTCATGTTGGGTGTTTACTACATCTGACAACCAAAGAGAGACTAATTATCCAAACCCTAATAGTCACGGGCAGTGGCGTTCCGTGTGTGAGTCTAGTTTCACCAGTGCTTCCTTACACACTCCCTTTTGTGGTCTCATTGCTACAGAGGCTGGGATAGCGAATGCTTAGCTAGCAGAACCTGTAACACACAAGGTTCTGGGAAGGTTTGGGATGGTTAAAGCTGGTCAGGGAAAGACAGTCAAGATTTGCTAGCCAAGACTGGGAGGAGAAGTGCTAGTTGAATGGTTTAGAAGGTACCTAAAATCTCATGTCAAGCAGATTCTAAGTAGGACCTGTATTATTTAGAGGCAGGAAACAGAAGAAAAAGCACTGGTGTTGTGAGTCAGTAGTTTTGGATTTTTATTGTCCAGGCACTATATGAAAAGATAGTAATTGACCTGATGTCTGGAATCTTAGCCAGAAAACAAATGTCAATAACCAGAATGCAGAATTTACCAAACATTGACTTGTTTCTAATATTGAACAAATATAGTTAACAGTGTTAACAGGAATATTTTAACAACTTTTGATTAATACTGACAGATCAAATAGACAAAATACAAAATAAATGGGAAGAAAAATATTTTAATTAAAAATAAAATTTGATGCAAAGAAACAGAATATTATTAGTAGTGGGAACACTAATTAATGCATGAGAAACCAGGATGAACTATGTGAAAGGAAGTTTTGGTAACTGTTTTATAACATGTTTTGTCAGCAATAACCAAAATTGGACATTCTTATTAAACTGTTAAAACATTCCTGATAAATATTCCAACTGGAATATATGAATTGTAGTATTCAGCCAGTTGGATGTAGCCAAATTGATTTTCAGTGAAGTGATCTGCTTCCCCCAAAGGATGTCTCTGAGTATTATTTCCTCTGCACTCTGAGAAGTACAGTTGACAACTGTTGAACCTTATAAATCTCCAAAGATTTCTTCTAAGATGTAGGTTGCAAGTTTTTGCTATAATTAGAGGTGGTATTATCATGAAGCTTTACTACATAAACTTCTGTAACTTTTTGTTTGTTTGTTTTTTTGCTATAGAATATTTATTTGATAAGCAGCCAAGTAAGCATATGTCTTAAATATGTGTATCCTTTTTTCCATTTTTAAGGAAACAGACCACATGCTTTTAATAAAATAAAATAGGTTAGGGAGATGCTTAGTTTACAAACTTTAGGCAGTAAGGTGAAAAGTTATTGTTACATATTTCTTTTGATAGCCATTTGTTCTTAATATTTATAGGAAAACTATTTTGGGGAAGATGACATGTATATGGATTTTGAAGAGGTTATTTCAAGTCCGGTTCTGTCCCTGTCAACGTCATCCAGCTCTGGATGGACTGCAGTCGGAATGGAAGGTGATAGAAAGGAAAACGAAAGTTCAGCCAAGTCAATTCATCCTCTGTCCTTGCGTCCTTGGGATATTACCGTGCTTGTGAATTTGTACAAAGTTCATGGGCGTCTGCCTATTGTAAGTGTTTACTTATCAAAATAGTCTGGAATATCATGTGAAATTCACCCAGCATAGGAAACTGTATGTGTGCGCACACATATAACTATAGAAAAATTCAGATTAAAAACTTCTAAATTTATCCTTTTATCTCTATAAAGCTAGCTTATTTTCTTCAGAATGTGATTACTTGCTCATTTATAATTTTACTCTTTCTCCTTTCACTTGCGTTTCTTCTTTGTTGTTCTGTGTAACTTCAGAACATTTTGACATGTTTATAGTTAGCTTGAAGGATATTCTAGGATTTTACATTTTGTTAGTCTTCATCTCCAACTCCAGACCAGTTTGGGGCCTCATGGTGGACCTATTACAAAATCAAGATTCAGGCTTGACCCTGGAGGTGGAATTGTGCCCCTCCAGTTTCGTATCCAGCATTGAATCCTGGTTCACTCTAAGGATGACTTGTGGGCCTGTTGGGGCTGACTTGGAACAGGATTATATTCCCCAAAGAACCCATGGCCATTGGGTCCAGGCCAGATGTGGTGGGTGGCCCTGAGCTTTGGGCTGCCTACCGGCTGCATGTCATGTGCCTAGGGCTGCACAGCAGAGAGGCCACCTGTGTGCTTAGTGGACCTAATGTCCTAACTGGGGTTCCAGTAACTTGTGTTTGTCAGTAAAGCACTGTTTCTCTTTTTAAAATTCAAAATCTCTTAATCATATAAATACAGTTTTTATTTTCTTGTACTTCCCTGGTCTTCGCCTTTTTCTATATTTTGATTATGGGGTTTTGTTTGACTTTAGCACGGAACTGCCGATGGTCCTGAGTGTCCCACAGCTTTCTTGGAAAGACTGTGTTTTGAAATGAAAAAAGGATTTAGGGAGACCATGCTGCAGCTTGTGCTGTCACCCCTGAGTGTGTTCGTCAGTGACAACTATCAGGTAACGTGAAAGTGAGTCGTGTAGAGATTTAGAAATTTCTTGTTACTGTTTATAGGGTGAAAACAATGTGTTACATGGAGGCTACTGCTCTGTAAACTAGAGACTTTTCGTTTAACCATAGTAAGAAGTTTTGTATGTGTGTATGGATGTATGAGAGTTTTCCAAGAATCTGTTTCATTATCTTTCCGCTTTCCCTGTTTATGTGGTCCCAGACAATTATATATTATATCCATTGTTTTTAGAAATGGAAAGAAATACTTTATAACTTTCTCATTTATTTATGGAAGGGAAAAATGTAGAAAATATTGGTGGATTCTGCTGACAATCACAACCTAAGTATTACTATCAACCAGTACCATAAATCTTCAAAACATGCATATCTGCATGGCCAATGATTTATTTTTTTCATCTGACATACCTACAGGATACTTTGTTAACGCTTTCACTGTATCCCTGGGGCTCTTTTGGAAGAGAGCCAATGATATTCATCAAATGGGAATAATTTATATTCCTGGGTAGATTATTACTTCATAATTATTAATTTTTAATGACAGGTGGCTTCTCTTTCTACCATTACTTTAGGGCTCTTCTCTACTTTTAGAAATATAAATGGATTTAATATAAGGCCAGGGAAATATGTAAGTGGGAAGGTGTATCTGATACCTCAGATTATCAATGGATACTAACTTACTGTGGAGTCTGTGTAGTAATTGATCATCTTGTTTCTAATAGCCTACCCCCTTTTCACTGTTTTGCCATAAATGATTATATTTTTCTACATAGAATTTTAATTTATATTTTCATATATACATAGTATACTACATGCTTCTTTTGCCACAAAATGTGCTTCCTTTTTAAAACTTTTATTTCAAAATAATAATAGAGTCACAGGAAGTTGCAAAGTTAGTACAGTGAGTCCCTGTATCCCCTTCCCCCAGTTTCCCCATGTTGACCTTGTACATAATTATAGTGCAATATCAAAACCAGGAAGTTGACATTGGTGCAATGAGTGTGCATAGTTGTGTGTCTACTCACCCTATATAGATTGTCACTGAAATCAAGATGCAGCACTGTGCTATCATCAGAAAGATCTCATGTGCACAGCACTTTTATTTTAGCTTGCTGCAGGAACCTTAAAAACAACTCTTGTTCTTCTCTCTCTAATTAGCGGATCATTAGAATTGGTTGATGTTTTTTTGTGTTTTTTTTTAATTCTGGGAGGTGAGTGTGTGGAGAGGAAACCCATCTCCTTGTTTTCAATCTATTGAGGAAATTAATAAAGGTGAAGGGAAGTGTCTCCTGATGGCTGAGTTCTGAGAATCTTAGCTAAATATCTGGTTTCTTATGAATACCTGATGACACTTGAACTTTTATTTTTTTAAAATATTTTATTGATTTTCTACAGAGAAGAAGGGAGAGGGATAGAGAGCCAGAAACATCAATGAGAGAGATCGATCAGCTGCCTCCTGCACGCCCCCCACTGGGGATGTGCCCGCAACCAAGGTACATGCCCTTGACCGGAATCGAACCTGGGACCCTTCAGTCTGCAGGCCGACGCTCTATCCACTGAGCCAAACCGGTTCGGTGACACTTGAACTTTTATTTCCATCACTACATTCTCAAAAGACTGGACCAGATATAAAAAAAAACATTTTATTGAGCTCATTATGAGAGGTCAAGTCCCACAGATTGGACTTCCCCACCCCTGATCTAAAGCGATGGATGGATTATTGTGTCTGACTTAGGAAACTACACATTCTACTTCATGGTCATCTTATGACACATATTGGTTTCCTAGGCCTCCTGTGGCAAAGTATCCCACTTCGGGTGCTTGAGACAACAGAAATTCATTCTCTCACAGTTCTGAGCCTAGAAGTCTGAAACCAGGTGCTGGTGGGCCATGGTCTCTCTGAAGGCTGTAGGAGAGGATGTGCTTTGTTTCTTCCTAGCTTTTGCTGGTTGCTAGCAGTCCTTGGCATTACTTATCTTGTAGACACATCACTCAAGTTTTGCTTCCATATTCATATGGCATTCATGAGTCTATGTGTTCCCAGTTTTCTCTTACTAAAACATGTCTAAGAAGGAATCCCTAATCCAATGTAATCTCATTTTGACTTGATTGCATCTGCCAAGACCCTATCCTGTGTCCAAATAAAGTCACATTCACAGGTACATGGGCTTGGGACTTGAACATATCTTTTGGGGGATACCATTTACCCCATAACATGATGCAAGCCATAATACAAATTTCGAATATAACCTTTATTAGTGTATTAGGGAGGCTACACCTTTAGGACAGGCCAATTTCCATATGTATTTTTAAGCTTAAAAAAAAACTATGAAAAATTTTATACTGAGAATTATGGATTCTCTGTGCCAGAAGAAATCTTTACTGACCATCCTCCCCAACTCCCTCAGATAAAGCCAGGAAACTGAGGCCTGGAGAAGTTAGGCGATTTTATATACTGTTACACAACTTAGATGAAAATAAAATAAAACAGTTTTTAGAAGTTCTAGAGGTGTATTATAGTCATAATTTGAAACTTCCTTCTAAGAAGTCCTTATGAATTAGATTTTTTAGCCTTTCTCCTTAAAACAATTTTTTAAGAACACATTTCCACAAATGTGTTGAAACAAGGAACACTAACTCTGTAAGTTGGCCTGCACACACACACTGAGAAGGCTGCCATAGTAAAACTCACTTGGGAAATATCTGTGAACTGTCTCAGTGTATAGCCGTGTGTTGGTGTCTCTGAGAAGACCTGAGGTGAGGTCCTCTATGCAGGTACTCGGTCAGTAGTATCTGCTTTTGTGGTCACTTAGTTAGGTGCAGTGGGATACCTGATGACCAAGGCAGAAATGGTCTTTACCCTAGTCAACTGGTAGAGAGATAAATATGGAGGGAATTACCATTAAGATAAATACTTTCAAGTGTTAAAAGTGTTGCAAGGAGAAGTGTGAGGTGCTTGGTAGCATATCATGGTCTTGAGACAAGAACATGATAAAATATGCCTTTACTAACAAAATCTATATGGAAGATGGCTTCCTGCCCTAGTTCTTCATTTTATGGTCTTAATCTTTATTGTTCCCTGTTATTTTCTTCTTTTTAATATTTTAATCTCATGATTCTTGCCTTCCCACAAGACATTGTATTTCCTGCCAGTCAGAGTCTGGGTTTCTTTTTCTTCCTTAAGGCAGGGACCACTCAGAGAGCGACGTTCTTTGTAGGACTTTGCTGTCTTGCTTTGTAGCTGGGCTTTCATGGATACTGTCACTGCAGAAGCTTTACTCAGACTTTCATGGGTAAAAGGCGTGTCAGGAGCTTGTGAATCCTGAAGCCTTATTGTCCAGATAGCATGTTTTTTTACTGTTCGTCTCTGGGGAAAAAACAACTAGAAATCATAATGCGATTTTCTTGTATGTATTTCTCACTATCTTGTTCTTGTTTTCAGCAGCGACCCCCTGTAGATGACGCACTCAAGGAAGGTCATATCAATCTGTCCGGTCTCCAGCTGAGAGCACATGCCATGTTCTCAGCAGAAGGTCTTCCTTTGGGAAGCGATTCCCTAGAATATGCATGGCTAATTGACGTGCAGGCTGGAAGCCTCACAGCTAAGGTCACGGCACCACAGGTACGAGTGTCCAAGTACTATCTGCTACATTCTTTTCCTTTTCCTTCATTCACCCACTGCCCCAAGAGCAAGTTTTTGAATGTCCATTGCATTTCCACTAATGACATTCTGATTCCTGCCATTCACAATTTTTCTTAGCAATAGATGAATAAGAAACAAATTTCATTTTTCTGAGACACATGAAATTGATGAGTGTAATGTTGTATAATTGTACATAGTACTTTAAAGAATTTGAGACTTTCTATGGGAAAAACTTAGGCTGAGCTATATATTGCACATGTATGTATTATTAAGCTTATATTATATGATTCTCCACTGTTGGAATAATCTCCTTTTCCCAGTATATAGAATAGTTTTCTAAAAATTTTGCTTTTTTGTGTATTTCTTAGCATTTACGATATTAAGGATTAGGTAGCACAGTTCTTTACTTGTCATGTCTCAAAGCAAGATACCGTCATTTGTACCTGCTTATTAGTGATGTGGGGTACTGGTTTAAAAAATAGATATGAATTTACTGGTGAGTAAGCCTGGCTTAGAGGGCTAGTTAAGATCCTTTGGATAATTTTTCCTTCACTTTCACTATCCATCCCACTGTGTCTTTAGAAGACTCAGAGGCCTTAAAGATTACTTACTTCTAGAAATGGACCACTGAAATTTAGTAGAATAGTCATTTTACTGTAACATTTCACCTGTTGAGCCATATCTTTATGATAATATGCATGCTTATCTGGCATTTCAAAAGACTGAAATGTGGCAGAAATGTACATACTCAATTTTAATAAAAAGTTACAGAGTGGGTATGAAACATAATTGAGAGGTTGGTAGTAGCAACAAGATAAATAATGAATCGAAGTATCTTCTATATCTGAAAGAAATTGTTGGGATACAGCAAAAATTAGGATTCTAAAAATAGGAAAATAAATGAATTGCAAAGGGATATTTTCTATAGAAATGGATACAAATAAATATAATGGAATGTATAAAAGTGGACAAAAAATATTCAGTGCTCTATGGCCTCATAACTAGTCTGTCCTTAATATCCACCATTTCCTGTCTCTCCATTTATAAGTAAAAACTGAAGCATATAACAAAAGCTTGTTTTCTAATGAGCTATGCCAATCCTGCAAGACTGGATACGATTCCTTTAACCTAAGGATTGCTAGACTCTCACATGTTTATAAATTGCATTTCTCAGAAAATGAAATATTTTCTTCTGCCCTAGAGTCTTGGCATCACTGTTTTCTGTGAGATTCATGATTCCTTAGGTGCTTTTAATGTTTATGCCATTCTTTGTTTTAAAAGCAAAATTCATGTTTTCCAGTAGTTTAAATTATGTACTTTTTAGGGGGGATAATATGTATAACCATGTCTCAGTGTGTTTACTAATTCTAATCAGTTATGGAATTTGGGGTTTTTAAAAATCTAAAGATATGATGAAGAGTTGCTATATGGTTACTTAAGCTTTTATTTACATAAACAAACATAATCTTCAAAATACCTGATTTCCCCAAATCGTAGTTCAATATGATAATTAAATACTCAAATTTCACACCAAAACTTGATTGATTATTTGGTAGAGAATTCTAGGTGTGAGGACTCCGATTAGTCATATAAGAAGGAAGATATGACCTTGAAGAAAAGTACTTTAGAAGTTGAATTTTTCAGTTGAAATTAATTCATTTTGGAAATGTATTTTGTCATTCATGAATGTAAAGTAACACAAGTTTATAAATGATGTCAAGGTAGAAAAATCATGATATTAACTAACAAGTGGATTATGTAGCAGCATGTGTACGACGGCGCTTGATATCTTTCAAGCTGTGTTAATATTCTTTTTTTAAAAATATATTTTATTGAATTTTTACAGAGAGGAAGGGAGAGGGATAGAGAGTTCGAAACATCGATGAGAGAGAAACATCGATCAGCTGCCTCCTGCACACCCCCTACTGGGGATGTGCCCGCAACCAAGGTACATGCCCTTGACCGGAATCGAACCTGGGACCTTTCAGTCCACAGGCCGACGCTCTAGCCACTGAGCCAAACTGGTCAGGGCTGTGTTAATATTCTTAATTAGTTTATGAGCTCCAAGCGCTTGTTTAGTGTGCTAACATGTTGTCAAACTGTACTGCTTATTTTGCAGCTGGCTAGTCTCTTGGAGTGGGGGCAGACATTTGTTTTTCATGTGGTGTGTCGGGAGTATGAACTGGAAAGACCCAAGTCAGTAATAACATGTCAACATGGACTTGATCGTCGGTTCTGCGAATCCAAGGTATGTTGACAAATAGGATAGCAGTGTTACAAAATTTATGGACTTTTTTAAATGACCGATTAAAATATCAGCTTTAAAGCAAATGCACATAGGCACAAAGTAAACACTATAGTTCAATTTTTTAAATTAATAAAATTACTTTTGCAAATCATAGCCAGTTGTTATTTAGTTGTAAGTATCTAAAATATGAGATAATTGCCTGGCCGGTGTGGTCATTAGTTGAGTATTGACCTCTGAACTAGGATGTCATGGTTTGATTCCCAGTCAGGGCACATGCTCAGGTTGTGGGCTCAATCTCCTGTAGGGGGTGTGCAGAAGGCAGCCGATCAATGATTCTCTCTCATCATTGATGTTTCTATCTCTCTCTCCCTCTCTCTGAAAACAATTAAAAAATAAAATATGAGGTAATTATTAAAACATGCATTCACAAATAAATGGAGATATGAAAGTTTTATCTTTTACATGTTTGCTGTCAATACTCAGATTGCATTGAGTCTTTGGGATTGGCTCTATATTTGTGTAGAGAATTAGAAACTGAAGGCAGAGGAAGTTCAGATTCCTTGCATGACACTGTTTGCAGACTCCTCTCTTCTGCAGTGTGATTAGCAGTGTGGGGCATTTGCCAGTTTTCTTGACTTCATTTGTGCTCTTTCTACAACATTGCATGACCTTGACTCGGTCATTACAGCACCTTTAAAAGGTGCTGTGACAATGACAGGCAGACTGTTATTTTGTAGTAAATACTGTTCCTTATGAATTTGGGGGTGGGGAGCATTTGGAGGGGGCAGGGAGAAGTGTGCCCATTTCAGAAAACCCAGAAAACTCTGGTTTCAAAAGAGAAAAATAATTTACCCTATTCTATAATACAGAGATGACTATTGTTTAGTTTTTCTATTTTCTTTCCTGTGTGTCTTTCTTTATTCTTTTGCTATACAAAGTATATTTGTTTGCTAATATATTACTATAATTGAATGTGATTCATCCTGCTTTTAAAAAAAAATATTTTATTGATTTTTATCAGAGAGGAAGGGAGTGGGATAGAGAGTTAGAAACATCGATGAGAGAGAAACATCGATCAGCTGCCTCCTGCACACTCCCTACTGGGGATGTGCCCACAACCAAGGTACCTGCCCTTGACCAGAATCGAACCTGGGACCCTTGAGTCCGCAGGCTGACGCTATATCCACTGAGCCAAACCGGTTAGGGCAGATTCATCCTGCTTTTAATTTTATGTCCAAAAAAATCTGTAACCCATGCTTATTTACCAACAATAATGGAAATAGCTACAATTTGTGATAAAAATTAGTTTTTCCTGCCTAGCCAGTGTGGCTCAGTGGTTTAGTGTTGACCTATGAGCCAAAGAGGTTCAATTCCCAGTCAGGGCACATGCCCGGATTGTGGGATTGATCCCCAGTAGGGGGCATGCAGGAGGCAACCAATCTGTGATTTTCATCATTGATATTTCTGTCTCTTTCTCCCTCTCCTTTCCTCTCTGAAATAAATAAAAACATTAAAAAAATTACTTTTTCCTGTTCAATGCACATTGCCAGGCCCCAAGAAATTAGCTCCTTAATCATTTGTCAGCTGGTTAGTTTCTTTTTTTTTTTTTTTTAAATATATTTTATTGATTTTTTTCAGAGAGAAAGGGAGAGGGATAGAGAGTTAAAAACATTGATGAGAGAGAAACATCAATTCAGCTGCCTCCTGCACACTCTCCACTGGGGATGTGCCCACAACCAAGGTATATGCCCTTGACCGGAATCGAATCTGGGACTCTTCAGTCCACAGGCCGACGCTCTATCCACTGAGCCAAACCAGTTAGGGCTGGTTAGTTTCTTATGGATAATTCACACATGCTTACAGGCGTCTCCTCCCTTTTGTCTTATTTATTTTTATTATTTTTTTGTTAATCCTCACCCAAGAGTATTTTTTCCATTTATTTTTAGAGAGACAGAGAGAGAGAAACATTGATGTGAGAAAGACACATTGATTGGTTGCCTCCTGCATGCAGCCCCGTCTGGCACGGGGGATTGAGCCTACAATTGAGGTATATGCCCTTGACCAGAATCGACCCTGTGACCCTTCAATCTGAGAACCAATGTTCTAAGTACTGAGCCAAACTGGCTAGGGCCCTTTTTTCTTTTTTAGACTCAAAGCTTTTATGTCACATTCAGTTTTATTGAGGCATAATTTACATGCAATAAATTCACCTTTTTTTATACCACGTGTAAACAACCCTCCCCTTCCCCATGGACTGTATATTTCTACAAGTGTGTGTGTATTCAATATACAGGCATGCACATAGGCTCGCACATAAATATGTGTATACATTTTTAAAAATAATTGTTTATTGTTGAAAGTATTACGTATGTCCCCCCTTTTCCCCCATTGACCCCCTCCTGCCCATCCCCAGCCCCTTGCCCAGGCCTTCAGCACTCTATTGTCTGTGCCCAATTTACCCTTTTAAAGTTGTACATTTCACATTTTGATGAATGTGATAAATACTGGTGTAACCACTAGCACCAGTGAAGACCTGGAACATTTCTATCACCTTCAGTTCCTTCATGTCCCTTTGCAGTCAGCTGCTCTGCCATGCAACTCATATGCTTTCTGTCATTTTATTACTAGAGGCCCGGTGTACGGATGCGTGCACATTTAAAGGAAATAAATTAGAAGGTGGCGGCAGGGCAGGGCTGGGCAAGATGGGCTGGACACGCCCTGGAGCCAACCTCCCAGGGTCCCTCTCCTGCTGGCCACACCTGGGGTGGTGCCAGGGCTCAAAGGGTGTCTGTGGAATGAGTGAGTTCCCTCCAGCAGGTGGGGTCCCTCAGCCTGGCCAGTGGGGATGGGCCAAAACTGGCAGTCCTACATCCGAGGGGTCCTGCAGTGTGAGAGGGCACTCTGCAAAGTTGCTGTCTCTCGGCAGCTTCTGCGTTTAGTGTCTACCCCCTGGTGATCATTGCGCATCATAGCTACCAGTTGTACAGTCGAACGGTCAGACAGTCGCTTAGGCTTTTATATATGTAGATTATTATTTTTGTTGTTGTTAATCCTCACCTGAGAATAGTTTTCCATTGATTTTTAGGGAGAGTAGAAGAGAAAGGGTAAGACAGAGAAACATCAATGTCTGAGAAACACATCAATTGGTTGCCTCCTGCACGAGCCCTGACCAGGTTCTGGGTCGGGGAGGAGCCTGCAACCTAGATACATGCCCTTGACTGGAATCGAACCTGGGACCCTTTGGTCCACATGCTGACGCTCTGTCCACTGATCCAAACTGGCTAGGGCATGCTTTCTGTTATTTTAGATTTATTTGTTTTAGGTCTACTTTGTGTGGAGGAAATATATTCTTATAGTGCACTCTGCCACTAACAAGCAGTTATGTGCTGTTAGGCCAGTACTTACTCAGGGCTGCCATTGCCCCGGGAAGCTCATTGAAGTAGATGTCGTGTATGTTTTCGTCCAACCTAGACATGATCAAGTCTGTGTGTTAGGAGTAAAACTAAATTAAATCTGTGTGGCTTGTCTTAGATAGTACCATAAAATTCACAGTTGATGTATTTGTGGTTGTGTATAAAACAAGTATGTATATATGTGTATGGAGGACTCATAAAAAATCTTACAGCTTTAGACTATACATTTTTTATAAACCTCTAACAGTGATTACTTTGATGATTCCTTTTGGGTTTCATTAACAAGTTATATTCTGTCCATTTAAACTTGCTACTTGCCCCTTTTAAATGAAAATCATACATAATTACTTGTGATTAGTTTTCTAATTTGGAAAGACTTTAATTGCTGATGATTTTGTTTATCATTATAAAAAAGTGAAATTTAACATACTGATTTTAAAAAATACACATGTGATCAGAATTTTGTTTGTGTGTTTAAATAGAATTATTCCATCTTTTTCCATTTTAGTTGAGTTGTATTCCTGGCCCCTGTCCAGCTTCAAATGATTTGAAATACACCATGACTCGTTTAGCGGTAGATGGAGCTGATATTTATATTGTGGAGCATGGCTGTGCTACAAATATAAAGGTACATGTTTGTCTGTTTCTTGGCCAGTGTAGTTCTTTTTCCTTTTTACCAAACCAGACCTCTACTTCTTGAAATACAACACACATTTATAATTTGTCATCTGACCAAATACTACAGAATTCTAGAAGATAGTTGTTTTCAGCTCATTCATGGTCTCTTCCAGTATTACTTTTTAAAGGCATACTTTCCTGCTATTTTACTCTAACTGAATCATTATAACATTACTTTGTGGCAGAGATATAGACTAGTAGCTTTCTTTATGGCAGGGAAGTGGACTGGTAATGTTTTTCAAAGATTGGATTTTGAATGCTTATAGGTTTTATACATTATGGTTCCTGCCTGGCTCCAGAAAACATTTGTTTACCACCTCTGCTTTGTGCATTACTGTTTAAAATCAAGCTTTGTTAAGATTTTATTACTTATTATTCTAGCTTTCTTATTTCTCTTTTTTTTCTTTGGACTATGTTCTATGTTCCTTTTATCCTTTTCTTAAATTGAATGTTTTTATTCTGTTACATTTATTTTTGCTATTTCTCTTTCCTCCTTTTCCTTTCCTTTTCTTCTCTTTTATGCAACTTGAAATAATTACCTATTATGTAGTTTATTCTAACTTGCTAAAAAATACAGAAACTAGAGTTTTGTTTCATTTTCTTCATTCAACTTTAGATGGGGGCAATCCGGGTTGCAAATTGTAATCTCCACAACCAGTCGGTTGGGGAAGGGATAAGCGCAGCAATTCAGGACTTCCAAGTGAGACAGTACATCGAACAGATGAATAATCCCAGAGCTGGGCTCCAGCCTGCGATTCTGCGGAGGGCCTACTGGCTAGAAGCTGGCTCGGCCACCTTAGGACTAATCACTGTTGATATTGCACTGGCAGCTGATCATCATTCTAAACATGAGGCACAGAGACATTTCTTAGAAACTCACGATGCCAGAACTAAGAGGTAAGTGAAATTTAAGATGAAAATTGCTGGATAATTATAGAGGAAGTTTTACTGTTAGAAATGGAATCAGAGTATTTAAGTAAAGACCTAATATGATTGTGTCCCTACATGGTAACTCATTGACTTTCAGCTTTTTGGGTGCCTTTGTGGATATTTGTTTCCAAGGAGTTTTGGGAGCACGTGTATTAATTTCTGATATAACCAGAAAAGTTATTGACCATGTAGGCCATTAATTTATTAGTGTTTTCTGAAAAGTATAGTTTCTTTTTTTAAATAATATTTTTACTGGTTTCAGAGAGGAAGGGAGAGGGGGAGAAAGGTAGAAACATCAATGATAAGAGGGAATCATTGATCGGTTGCCTACTGCGTGCCTCACACTGGGGATCAAGCCCGCAACCCAGGCATGTGCCCTGACCAGGAATCAAACCATGACCTTCCGGTTCATAAGACGATACTCAACCACAGAGCTACACCAGCCGGGCCATATTATCTCAGTTCTTAATACTTCATTTAGAGAACTAATTACAAAATATTTGTAATTTTTTCCTCTAAAATAGAGCATTATTTTGATTTGATTAAGAAATAATTTTTTACTTGGCCCATATTTATAATATTTTGGGTGTATTAAATTTGCCATGTGAAATAGGCTCTCAGATGCCCAAATCTATTAAACATAATCTATACTAATAGTTTTGTCCATTTTTTAGATTAAAGTTTAAAATTTTTAGTCCTTTTGAGAATATTTACTGTTTTTTTTAAACTGGATTTAAATTATTTTTATATGTGCTTGTTCTTAGCGCTTTGGTTTATTTTAATGTATGCTATATGTCTCTTATTGTTCCTACTTATTTCCATCTCACTTACCATGGTGAGACTGTTGTTTGTTTGTTTGTTTAAAATGGCAGAATGATTAAAAAGACATATCACAGTAAAAATGAACCTTTGTGTTTACCGTGTCTTTTATAAATATTAATAATTAACTTATGTGTTACTAATTATCTGCTAAAAAGTTTTTCTGTTCTTAATGAGTTTTTGTTCCATTGCTGTTTCTCATTTTTTTTTGTTTGGGATTCTGTTCAGGCTGTGGTTTTTGTGGCCTGATGACACCCTGAGGAATAAGAGGTGCAGGCACAAGTGTGGCTGTCTCGGTGGCTGCAGATTCTTTGGTGGCACAGTGACTGGCCTAGATTTCTTCAGGCTTGAAGAGTTGACACCATCCAGTAGCTCTGCATTTTCAAGCACGAGTGCAGAGTCGGACATGTACTACGGACAGTCTCTGTTGCAGCCTGGGGAGTGGATTATTACCAAGGAAATTCCCAAAATGGTAGACGGTAATGAAATGTGCTAATCTTTTTCATCTTTATCCCTATGCCATCTGAGAGGAGTTCACTGTTACTGTGTGCAATTCCATTTTTTGAGCCGTCTCGGAGGTAGGATTTCATAGCCTGCCTTGTTTTGCAGGTGATTGAGCTAAAGCCAGGTAAGATGTGAGTTTTTCAGATTTATGCAAGGCAAAAGTAGGTCCACTATTCATCCAGACGTATTCTAAATATTTCCTTTTATGTCATCATTTTCCTGGGAGCCAGCTTCCACAGATACACTTAGGAATAGTTATGTTTTAAAGTAATGGTTGTTTTACCAGTTCACTTCAATAGGAAAACTTAGCAATAGTAATATTTATACCATTGGCCCCCCTGTTATCAATTATTTTGGCAAAATATTCTTATCTCTAAAATTAAACTTGTCAAGAAGAGAAGTATGGTCTTCCCATAGAGTCTGTAGGATAACTGCAAATATATGCATTTGGTATGAGCAGTGAATGGTGTATTCACTGGATATTAGTTTTAGATTTATCTTGTATCTTTGCTCTAAAGACTTCAGATATGATTTTTCCTCTGGGTTTCTTAGTTGTATGTTCCTACAATTAAGTGTAATAATTATTGCTTAAGTTTCTATGCTGTCAACAAATGAAATGTAGAAAAGTCCTAATATTTCACCAATATTTAGTCTTGTTTCCTTTGTTCATTCAAAACCATTAACTTAGCACTGCCTTAGTGGAAAGAGCTGGACTACATATCTACATATGCCTAATTCCTGTTTAAGTGACTTTTCACTGAATAGTAAGATAGAAGTGTGTACACATTATTTTAAGGTTGTTTGACTTTAGCAGTTTGGCTTATAAGAGCAGATTATCTTATAAAATCAGCAAACACCAAAACTTCTTGACATGGGAAGGAAAGAAAGTTGCTAAGTACAATTTAACTTCAGTTAAATTGTCTTCTTATACTATTACCTACTTACATTTGAATAATGTTGTTTTTAAAGATTTACACAGGCATTTTCTCACTTAATCCCCAAACTACCATGTGAGTTGCATATCATACCGGTTTATAGTGAATAAACTGAGTCTCATCACTGAGACTAAGGTGCGTGAAGTCTATAGCCACGTACATGCCTGAGCAGAAGCTAGAATCAGCCCCTTCCCATCACGTAATCTCATAGGGCTCTTATCACAGACCTGAGGATGTGTTCCCGATCAAAGAAAACATGATAACCAAATGCAATCATGTATGATCCTAGATTGGATCCTATACTGGAGGGGACAGAATGCTCTAAAAGACCTTATTGGTTTAGCTGAGAAAATTAGAAAGCATGTGGTAGTAATCTCTATAAATACTAAATTGTTAAGTCAGTAACTATACGGGGGTTATGTATTATCCTTAGGAAGTAAGCCCTTGAATATCTAGGGTAAAAGACCACAATGTCTGCAAATTTCTCTCCAAGGGTTCAAAAAGTATTATGTAAATAGAGTAAATGGGGCAAAGTGTTTGGGAAATTCCAAGTAAAAGATATGTGGTGGCTTTGTGCTTATTCTTGAAAGTTTTCTGTAAGTTTGAAAATTTTCCAAATAAAAGTTAAAAAAAAAGAAGACAAAAATTCACTGTCTGTGGATTCTGGATCCACACTTAGGTAGATACTTTGCTTTATGAAATTATATACTTGTGCTTTTAAAAAATGATTATACTTCAAGAAATTGAATTAAGTTGCCATGTTATTCATAAATTGCTTTTGAAATTACTATGTTCACATAACTTGCTTTTGTTGGTTGGTGTAGGTCATGTGAACAGCATGAAGAGGAAAGAATGGGAGAACAAATCAGGAGGAATGGAAGTGGAGAGAAAGACTCAGCACCTGAGCCTGCAGGTCCCCATGCGCTGTCACAGCTCGTCCTCGTCCTCAGATGACAACAGCAGCTCCAGTGCGGCCCAGCCTTTACTGGCTGCGGACAAGGAAAGCCCCTCTTCTGTGGCTGATGACCCTGTGCCTCAGAAGGAATTCCTGCATGGAATGAAAAGAGATGACGGCCCAGTGAGGTCAGTTACCAAGTAGATGCGGGAACCTGCTCACAATAGGATTATAATTGCTTCAAATTGTGACCAGAAAAACTACTTTCCTCTCACCTCACCTACTGTAGAAAATGTTTTTCTCCTCTTGAACATGTTTTTAAATGTCCATTTGCTGTTGTCTCTTTGATTATAAAAGTAGTACATATGTATTCATTACAGGTATTAGGAAAATACAGAAAAGTATAATGATAATAAATATTTCTTGTTATTTGACCTCTCAGAGTGAACTCTTGTTAACCTTTGGGCATTATCCTAGACTGGTGAATATTTTTGTCCTCCTCTTTCTATAATGGTTGACTCCTCATTTCTCGAAACACACTTTCCTCTTGACTTGATGGCACATTTTAGGTTCTCCCCCTTCCCCTCAGCTAGTCCTTCTCAGGCTCTGTTTCCACGTCTTCCATTTTTTTCTCCCTTCTTTTTCTTCCTCTTACAGTGGCCATTTATGAAATGTTGCTGTCCCTCAAAACTCTGTGCCCTTTTCTCCATTCTCTATACTGTCTCCCCAGATGGTCTCTCTAACTGTTTGGCTTCGATTATGATCTGTAGCTCACATCTTTAAACTCCAGGCAAAACCTTTGTCTCTCTAAGCCCAGTTACCTTCTTGATATATCTGCTTGGATATTACACAGTGACCTCAAGCTTGGCATATGGCCTTGTGCCTGTCATGGTCAGCTTGCTTTGCTTCAGTAAATGGCACCTCTACATCAGTTGCCAAAGTTAGAAGTATTAGGGTTATCTGTGACTTTTTTCTTTCCTTTAAGTTCTCTCAGTTAATCAAAGGTCTCTGGTGCATTTTCTTGGACAAGCTTTTAAAGGATATGAAAAAAATAACACCACCTAATGAATAGATTAATTTTCATGGATTATGGATAGATAATATTCATGGGTTTCTTTAAGTTTTGTTGTTGTTTTTGTTTTAAGCTTCCTCATTTTTGGGAACTATATGGGATATGAACACATTGTTTTGTTACTTTGTATGGCTATTTTATTGTAAAATTTTAGATTTTCTTCATTTGTTTGTAAAATAAATGATTAAAATGACTAAAAGGATTTTATAATTACTTTTCTTTATATTTAGAGTAAGTGATATGATAATACAGTAAAGGTAATAGCTTTGTTTTCTATTTTAGTGTTCCTACAGAAATTTCAGGAAATAGCCCCGTGTCTCCTAATACTCAGGATAAGTCAGTAGGTCAATCCCCTCTGCGGTCTCCCTTGAAACGACAAGCCTCTGTATGTTCCACCCGACTTGGAAGTACCAAGAGCCTGACTGCAGCTTTCTATGGGGACAAGCAGCCAGTCACAGTTGGAGTCCAGTTTAGTAGTGATGTCTCCCGAAGTGATGAGAATGTACTGGACTCACCAAAGCAGAGAAGAAGTTTCGGTTCCTTTCCATACACACCATCAGCAGACTCTAATTCATTCCATCAATATCGATCAATGGATTCCAGCATGTCAATGGCTGACAGTGAAGCCTACTTTTCTGCCGCTGAAGAATTTGAGCCTATTAGCAGTGACGAAGGCCCTGGGACCTATCCAGGTAGAAAAAAGAAGAAAAAGCAGACCCAGCAGATTGACTACAGTAGGGGTTCCATATATCACAGTATCGAGGGACCACTCACTGGCCACGGAGAAAGCATTCAGGATCCCCGAACTCTGCCATTCAAAACTCACCCTTCCCAGGCTTCATTCGTTTCTGCACTAGGTGGCGAAGATGATGTTATAGAACATCTGTATATTGTAGAGGGTGAGAAAACAGTAGAGAGCGAGCAGATCACTTCTCAGCAACCAGTGATGAGTTGCTATCAGACTTACCTTACTCAGTTCCAGGTGGTTAACTGGTCAGTGAAGCACCCAACCCACAAAAGGACCTCCAAGTCTTCCCTCCATCGACCCCTTGATCTGGATACACCAACCAGTGAAGAAAGTTCATCATCATGTGAACAGTTCTCTGTTCCAACTTTTAAGGTATAAATCAAATCATTAGTTTTTACACTGATATATTTATTTAGAAAAATGGATTTTGAAGTTGTTTTCACAATTACTCAGTCATTTTAGCTACCTTTCTGAAATCAAGGCTTCATGTATAATAGTAGGTCTCAGGATTAGTGGTGGGAATTATAAAGTGAAGTATATAAAATTGAGGAATAGTTAGATTTGATAGTCACAATGTTAGTCAACAAATGTAATAGTTTCTATATACACAGTACTCTTTTTTTTTAAAATATATATTTTATTGATTTCTTACAGAGAGGAAGGGAGAGAGATAGAGAGTTAGAAACATCGGTGAGAGAGAAACATCAATCAGCCACCTCCCGCACATCCCCCACTGGGGATGTGCCCGCAACCCAGGTACATGCCCTTGACCGGAATCGAACCCGGGACCCTTTAGTCCGCAGGCCGACGCTCTATCCACTGAGCCAAACCGGTTTCGGCTATACACTGTACTCTTAAGATTAGGATCAAGTCTGTGAATCTGTATTTTCTGTCTCTTAAAAATAAATTTTGAAATTGTTTTTTGATAGTTGGTGTTCTAATTCATAACTGCTTCTCTTGCAAATTCAGTTCCATTCACTTGAAATTTGATGTCTTATAATTTAGTATGACTGGCTATTGGCCACTTCTGTAGTGTATTCTGTAAATGGCTTTTTAAAGAGGAGTTAAAAATAAGTTAAAGTAAATGTAGTAACAATAGTCAATATGAAAACTATTTTATAAAGTTAATACATTTATAAGAGAATTTTTTATGGGTTTAGACCAAAATTAAGCATATGGAATCTTATGGAACTGGTTACATATACATATGCATTTATTTAAAGTGTTTTAATGTATTCATTCTTAATTCATATATTATTTACCACCATGTGCCCAACACATAATGAAGGAAACTATGGAGCTTATAGTTTAGGGGACAGAGACACAGTTAATAGATAAATGGATATAAGTATATGATTACAAATTGAGAAGAGTCTTATGAAGATAATCAAAGAATACTGGGATGGAAAATAATAGATTGTATTGACAAGACAACACTTAAACTGAGGTAATATTTAAACTGAAACTTAAAGGATAAGGAATAGTGGAGGATTAGAAAACCTAGGGCAATTACATTCAGGGAACAGGGATCAGCCTCGCTGAATTGCTAAGGAAGGAAAGAAGTTAGTTTGCTTGAGACCTGGAGAGGTAGCAGGGATCTGCTCCTGATGAGCTGTACACCTGAGTAAGGTGACAGAGCAGGTATCAGTAGTTAGAATTTTATTTTAGTTTCATTGAGAAACTTGCAAGAGCTCTAAGGAAATGTGATGTGATGTGTAGTTTGTGGAACTGCGACTAAGTGGAACTGAATTGTCATTAAGCGAGAGAGGAAATGGGGTGACCATTTACTTAGGAGACTGTGGCAGCAGTCTGTGCAAGAGATGACAGGTTTGGGCTTAAGTAATGTTGGAAATGTGATAATGGAGTTGAATATCCTTACAGATATTGAGATATATGTATGTGTGTGCAATATATATTGAAGGAAATAGAAACATTAGTAACAGTTACAAAGTTTTGGTTTTAAGGTTGTGCCCGTTTCTCTTCTTGCCAAGATAAATTGCTCATGCTAAGATTTCAAAATGTTCTCTTTATTCCATGTGAAAATATGTTGGTTTATGAATTTTCCAGTATAAAACTGAATGGTACTTGCTGTGCAGAATAGTACCTGAGAGATTAGAATTATTTTAGTATTTTCAATAAATCTTTTAGATTTGACTAGGCAGTCTGGAGAAAATAAGCCAAGTAATTCATATCTTTAGATCACTTTAAAAATAGAACATAGGAAGTAAGAAAGTTATTTTTCTCCATTAAATCTAAGTAAATGGCTAACATTTAAAAGGGTTCAGTTTGGTTGTTCAAGTGTATTGTTTATATTATTTACCTTTCATTGATATTACAATCCAGCTTTTTCTATAATATAATGTTTCTATGGGATTCTTTCCCATTTGAAAGTTGATTTTCCCAGGAAGACTCTAAAATTAGCTTAAAGTTAAGCTTAGTGTAAATGGTGCTCCAGAAGACAGACTTGGAAGCACTCCCATTTAAGTCTTGTTGGATAGTCTTTTATTCTCATTGCTGAGTTCTACAGCCCTGCCATTTGTCTGAATAAACTGAAAATGAAATTGTCAAATAAATATTTTCTATGATTTTTTCAATTTGTCTGTGAAATATTTATAGCATATCTGTGAAAATCATATTAACAAGGTAATCTGGATATTCACAAATAATCGGTCTATAGCATAAAATTAGAGGATAATTAATATTAAAATTCTACTCTATAAGCAAAATTTTATATTCTAGGTTATCAAACAGGGGCTCACAGCTAATTCTTTACTAGACAGAGGAATGCAACTTTCGGGATCAACTTCAAAGTAAGTAAAAATTATATACTTTTAAAGACTAAAGTGTTTTTCTTGATTATAAGACACATAAAGTTTATTCTAAAGAATAACCATTCTTTAATTGACTATAGACTTTATTTTATGAATAAATTACCACAAATAATTCAGCTGTTTGTCTGTGATGGCTTTGCCTACATTATAAGCAATCAGTGGCATTTCTTTTAGCATACTATGCAAGCCATCACTGGCATAACAAGACTGGAAACTAGTAAGAATTCAGAACTGAAGTTTTCATGTTTGGAAAAGCTCCA